CAAGGCTGGGGAAGACGTGCTGGCTGGGGCTCCTGGGAGGCTGGGAGGAGAGGGGAGAGCCCCATAGACAGCTCCTGCGTGGAGGAAGCCCTACAGACGTGAGCAGTCAGAGCTAACCTCGTCACCTCGTCCATTGTTCTCTGGCTGTGACACAGGACATCCTAGCTGTTAACAGCTTGGGTTTGACCACTGACCTTAAGATGGGTGGTTCGATCACACTCAGCAGCCCTGCGGAAGAAAGGCCTGGTGATCTCTCTCTGTAAAGGTCACTGCCGACAAGACCGTGTGCAGCTCTGCTCCTAACACAGGACCACCGACACTCGGAATCATGGTGCGGTTTTTGCTTTGGTGTACAGCTTCCCGCTCGTCTGTTGGTTGTTTCAGTAAATGATGACTGTAAACACGCTGATGGCGTGGTCAGGGATCTGGGCTGGTGACAGCTTCCTAGCCCAGCCGTTGGTCTCCCTGCGCTTCAGGTTTGTTTTCCCCTTGGCGTTCCCCGTCTGGGTCAGTCTCGTTGGCTCCAGCCACTGGACACTGCCGGCCCTTGCCTGCTCTCCTAGCTCGGGTCCGCCCTGTCTAGGTCCAGGCCACTGTCTTCCTCCTTGGCCTGCTCCCTGCTTTTGCTCTTACACGTCTTCAAGTGACCCCCAGAAAAGAGTAGGTGGGAAGTTTACTCGCCGAGTTGGCCTGTCTGGAATGATGTTCTTCTGTTGGCACATCGATTCCTAGTTGACTCCCTCTGACCCCAGGGCCTTTGCACCAGCTGTGCCTTGTTACCACACGGCCTGCTGCCTGCAACACCTTGCTCTTGAACCCCTGGTCCCACCCGGCTTTCCCGTCTGTGAGACGAGAGTGTTTAACTGTTTATTTCCCGACTCCCTCACCGGACTGTCAGCCCCAACAGGGCAGCGGCCCTGCGTATCTTGGGCTGACCTACCCCCGACGGTGGGCCCTGACTTGACCTCCTTCCTTTTCCTGCCACTTTTGGGGCGTCTCTCCTGGGGACTGACATGCACATGTATGGCGTGTGCTGTGGGGGGTTTTGTACTTACAGATGTGCTGGACATGTTTTATTTATTTAATCATTTATTTTGGTAAAAACACACACAACAAAACACACCCCCTTCAGCAGTTTCTCCAGGCATGGTTCAGTGACATTGTTCTTGTTCATCAAGCTGTGCCACTTTTCTTGACCGTCTTTTCCTATTTCACCATCATAACCTGCAGTGGTTAAAGCACTCGGCTGCTAACCAAAAGGTCGGCGGTTCCAACCCACCAGCGCTCTGCAGGAGAAAGATGAGGCAGGCAGCTTGCGTAAGACTGACAGCCTTGGAAACCCCTCCGGGGCAGTTCTCCGTTGTCCTCTACGGGTGCTGTCTGGTGGAGTGGACTCTATGGAGGTGGGTTAACCCAAACTCACGGCCAGTGGGCAGGTTTTCATGGGCATTAATGTGGGTCCTGTACCTGGGGGATTGTGATGATGGTTTTATTTGGCTCCACTTCTATTAACAGCATCGGGGCTTCTGGACCTGCCTGTTTTTATTTTTCTCTTCTCATCTCTGTTCAACGTCTAGGAAATTGCTGAGCTTTTCTGTCACCCTATCTGCCCGGGTCACTCCCTAGGACTCACCCGTCTCATTGCTACCTGCAGCTTCTGGAAACTCCGCTCACCTTTCCCTCCTTCTCTATCCTGGGGTTTCACTATTTCTCTGGGGAGGACGCCGCCAGCCCCCAGGCCCCTTACTGTCCTTGAGGACATCCTGCAGGTCGGCCCTGAGGGTTGGGCTAGAAGGTCCCCTCTTCCATGGGGGAGCTGTTTGGCTAGTGAACCGCTGTTTTCTGGGCACGCTTCCCGCACCCAGAGCCTCCAAGTGCCCTGGGTCCCAGTAGCGCCCTCCCCACTAAAATTTCTGAAACCTGGGCTGGGGTCTCACTTGCCCGGGCCCACGCCTCTAGTTCGCGTAAACCCATGTTTTTCCTGGGAAGGTGCGTTGGGCCTGGGATGCGGCCACTGTCAGGAGGGGCAACCCAGTGGTATCAGACTGGTCCTCGGCAGCATGGGGGTGGCAAGCTGGGGAGGGGGCCACCAGGAAGCCGAAGCCAAAAGAGGGTGCAGGGTTTCGCAGGACACCGCCAGGGATGTGGGCATGGCCACAGCCGGGGCCTGGGAGGTGCTGGAGCCTGATTCTCCTCTATGCAGCAGGCTCCCAGCAGGGGGCGCTGTGACAGCGCGATTTCCCCCGGGGGTGTTCGCCCTCCCCTCCGCCAGCCACTGGCTGGACACTGGGGGGGGTACAGGACTAGCCCGGCCATCCCCACCCTTGGGCAGTCACATGGCCACTGGGGCTTTGGGGAGTGGGGTGAAGTGGGGGCCACCTAGAGGGGGAGACCTCTGCAGATGCCTAACCGAGGGGCCCAGTGGGGTCACCCTATCCCGGGCCTTGACCTTGAGCCTGGCTGCTGAGGCCCGAGATGGGGACCTCAGGCTTGGGGTGTGCGCGTGTGTGTCATGGAGCGAGGGCAGGGGTAGCGACCCAAGGCTCCGGCCTGTGGGTGGGGGTGACCTTTGGCCCCTTCACACCCAAAGGTCAGGCAGGGGCTGGGACATGGGGCCTGGCCCCTCCGTCCCCTGGTCCCCATCACTGTCTTGTCTGCGGCTTTCTCAAACCGCTCACCTAGGCCCAGGGCCTCCATCCCTGACCTGGCCGCTCCTTTGAAGGCCCTGTCCCCTGCAGGCACACTGGCCCACCAGCCCCCAATTTTCCTGCCTGGCCCTACCCTCCGGTGGGCCAGCCACTTGGTGAACTGAAGTCCGGACAGACCCGCAGGGCATGGGGGTGGAGGAAGGCGTCCCTGAGTTTTAAGATTTCCCGTGATTCCACCTCGCTCTCCCGGAAGGTCACAGCCCGGGGACCCACACACGTCCTGGCGTCTCTGAACATGGCTGTGCCTTCCCAGCTTAGCAGTCTCCCTCGTTCCTCACTCCAGGGCCCAGCGCTGGGCCCAGAGACCCTTCCTCCCTAGGTCCTTCGGCAAGACCTTGTACCCCTAGCTCCAATCCCACAGGCGGGTCTGGCAAGGGGTCACCCCCTCCCCGGAAGATGGGTGCCCGCAGCCGCCCCACTGGCCCCAACTCCGCAGCGCTACGCCTGCCGAGGGGCCTCAGGGCTGGCCCTGTAGTCTTTGGTGCGGGCTGCCGGGCAGGGTGACCAGCGGGGAATGCGGGGTGACGCGGGGGCTGGGCAGAACCGCAGAGGCTGGGTTCACCAAGTGCAGGGGGCGGGGAGAATGCTGCCCCCTCGGAGAGCGGGGCGGGGTCCGGCACGCTCTCCCCCTCCCCATTCCCGACCCCAGTCTGCAGCGTCTGCAGGCCGGGCCGCAGGGACCGGAGGAAGCGTCCCCACGCGGAGCGCCCCCCTCCTAGCACCTGCACCGAGGCCGCGG